CTGATTAGTGGCTGACCTGCTCTGCCACCTGAGCTACAGCCACCCCACATCAATTATTCTTATTTATCTTGTGAATTTATTTAATTTGATGGTTTTTGATTTTATACTGGCGTTACAAATCAGCCTCACAGTGTTTGTAACATCTGCTTATGTCTTGCTGAATTCAGCCCTAAATCCACAAGAAGCAGTGAGCAGCACGTGTCAGCTGATCACAGCCTGCAGCTCACAAAACAAGTGATTATGTGACTTGTAATTCTTTTCCACACGGTGCACGGCTACACCTGATCTTAGGGTTCATGCCAAATCCTACTTTAACACATCCTGGCTACTGTTGTTGGTTTTAAATACACAGCACACAGAGCTGCTGTTAGAACTAAATTATATGTAGCCTGAAAGACAGCACTATACTTGCTTTTAAAGATTGTTACTTTGAGCACATGATAACTATTCGAGGAAATACAGATGAGATTATCAGTACTCTTACAAAATGAGCAGAACATTACATTTAGAAAGCTACACTAGGTATGAGCGTTCTTCATCAACACAAGGTTATAATAACCATATCTGAAATAATGTGAACATTTTAGTGTATTCTAATAGCGTCTCACAAAGTGCTGAAGGTAGGCTGAGCAGCACTTATTATATGATGCTACTCTTCTGCCCTCACTCTCTGACCACTCACAAGTTTCCCTTCAGTTGAATTAAAGGTTTTGTTCATTTATTGCATTAACCCAGAGTTAGCCAGCACCGATGCTTCTCCTTGGAGAAGAGGAGGCAGGTCCACACGTGTCCATTAGGCGAGGCTGCTTTGTTATCAGTCGCAACTCCTTTGCAGAGTTTACTTGTCAAAGCCAAATAGCAGCTGATGTGTTTTCAGTGACAGAAGAGCCCACGAATTTATTTCCATAAAGAAGTAACAGAAAAGACAAAACCATCAGAGCGATGAAACTATGTACAGCAGCTCGTCTCAATAATCCTGCACCCCTGTTCATGTTCATGCCTGCACACAAAAACGGGCGAGTGCAATTACACACTAAAGCCACGTCGGCCATGTGAACAGACTTCTGGCCATTGTGATCCAATCGCCGTCCATCCCTAAAGCGCTCTCTGTGCAGTAACTGTCAGCTGGACAGGTGTCGCCGTGATCCAGCTGTCCTCATCCTGGCCAAACAACACAAACAGGTATTTTATCCTGTAATTTACAGCAGTCTCTGTCCTAGTGTCTGTGCTTTCTAAACCCAGCAACATATTATTACAGACAGTCCACCAACGCTGCCCCCACCCAAATTCATTCTAAAGCTCGTCTCTGTCCGAAGACGTCCTTCAGCTGTTTCCATCATATTTATTCACGTTCCACTGAGTTTTCAATCAAGCGAGTACTTAAAAAGTCTGAGTTGAGGACTAATGCTGTTAAAGTAGAGTAAGCAGAGTGCCTTGTTGCCTTGTCCTGATGCCTAAGCGTTCACACCTTAATAACAAAGCTCTGAGCCGCCTGGAAGGCAGAGGGAAGCATCCTGTCTCCGCACGCGCACTGTGTGATGATAAAATGTATGTCGCTGGATTCAAGTGCACCCAAGTGGTATCAAGACCTCAGTTAATGTTGCATTGTGAGTATGGTTTAATGATTATTATTAACAGTTGGGTGATGGTGCTCTTATGGACTTACATGTTTGCAAAATGAATTTCCTCAAAAAAATAACAAAACCTTTGGCATCTCAGAATCATTTGTTTTATCACGATAACAAATAAAGTTGTCCAGGTTGTGTTTAATCTGCAGCTTTTCCAAACTGTAATAATAATAATAATACAAATGCTTACTGTGAGCAGTTGTCTGGAAATCATTTTGAGCAGCTCTGGTGACATCAGATGTTTTTTGTCTGCTGGACATTTTTCAACCAATAATAATGCTGATATGATAATGACCTCAGTTGTTTCTTTCATTTGTGATGCCAGTAACCAGGTGAGGAAGCTAAACTGTGATATTTATTGGGTAAAGGCTATGTTACTTAAAGTTTCCAGTAAAAATGATTTTTAAAATAAAGATAATATTTATTTCTAAATAAAAAAAACGTGACAAAAGTATACTGTATGTGTGCAACATGCTGAATAAGCAAAAGTATCATAAATGGAAGAAATACAAACTGTGAATGTGGCTCCAAAGACGATCATCATACACCCTTAAGTGAAGCACTTTTTCTTCCCATGAAATCACCTTCAAACTGCACACGCTCTTATAAAAGGTGGTTTTCCAGAGCCCTTTACTTTTCTTATAGATGTGGACTAAACCTTCTGGTTTGTGCCCTCTGGCTGTCTCTTAATGCAGAGAACGACATTTGTCTCTTTTTAAAAACAACACAGAACACATATGGAAAGCCTTTGGGCTTAGGTGTTGGTTTAGTTGGCCTCTGACAACACGAGGTCATAAACAGGCTGCGACAGGCCTGCTATTTTTACAGCCCTGCTGTGGTGTGTGTTTGTCAGGGTCACTGTGGGTGGTAAACTGACCACTTATCATCTGGAGCTGCAGAAGAAGAGGCTTAGGTGGAACAGCCAAGCATATTTTGTTGTTTTAGGAAGGCTGGTCTTCTGTATGGAAGCCCGTTTCCGCCACTAAATAAAAACAAAACAGCTAGTATGCATAACTCGAAATTTTGAGTTATTTTCTCAAAATGTCGAGTTAGCTCTGCCAATCAAAAATATGTGTGAATGAGGTCGCTTTCTTGTTACCCGGAAGCATATGGTGCAGAGGAGCGCGCACTCAAAAACAGATCCCAACAAATTGGCGCTTTGGCGAGTGCGTTTGCTGATAGTAACACCGTGTGATTCAGCTAATAACAGGGATTTCATCATTTGTGAAGCCAGGCTGAAAACACTCAGCAATCTGTGCGACTGGATGTAATACCGGTAGCTTAGCTGTAGCATTTGTAGCTGACGCTTCAGCTTCCGGGTAACGAGGAAATGACGTCATTCACTTAGATTAGTGATTGGCAGCGCTAACTCGAAATTTCAAGTTGCTTTTCTCAAAATTTTGAGTTAATAAATCAAAATTTTGAGTTAATATGTCGACATTTTGAGAAAATAACTCGAAATTTCGAGTTGCTTTTCTCAAAACTTTGAGTTAATAAATCAAAATTTCGAGTTAATATGTCGAAATTTTGAGAAGATAACTCGAAATTTCAAGTTTGTTTTCTCAAAATTTTGAGTTCATAAATCGAAATTTCGAGTTAACATGTCGAAATTTTGAGAAAATAACTCGAAATTTTGAGTTATGGATCCTTTTTTTGTTTTTAGTGGTGGAAACGGGCTTCCATACTTCTGGGCTTAGAGCCAAGGTGGTGGAATATTATCAGTGTGTTTTTGTCTACGAGACATCCATCAGGTCTAATTTGATGCTTCCTGTTAGGGACGTGGAGAAGTCATCAAATTCTTGTCTGGATCAATTTCATGAAAAGTAGTGATTGTCTTTAGTCATTAAATCTCGGTGAAACTGTTTATTCTGAATAAATTATGACAAATAAGCAGTTTTTTCCTGGATTTGTTCAACCGACTAAAGTATCACAAACAAAAACAAGGAAACTGACATTGCCTTTATATTTTACGTACACAGAACAGATGACAAAGTAAGTCAAGCATCGAGCCCTTCAGTCCTTCCCAGCTCATCGGTCATTACTGGCCTGGGACCGAAAACAGCATCCCCAGTCATAGCCCTTTCTTATTTTCTAAAGCAATGTTGTTTTCAATAGAACATTTCTAAATGTGTTGTCTTATTATTGCAGTTAGACTTGAGTACTAAAAAGAATATTTGCATAACAAAGTTTCACAACAGGAATTCCACTGCAGTTTATCTGCAGTCAAACATAAAATAAATCCGATGAGCCCTGCCGTGAGGGCAGGAAATCAAGCTAGTAGCATATGTTTGCACCTGCCTCCTACACTGAGCTTACATTGAAACAGAAGGCACAGCTGGGGCCCCTGTTATGTTTTCCACTGCTTCCTGACCACAGTGCCATCCATCCATGCTACTCAGTCTTCTTTATCAAAGTCAGTGGGGCCCCATCTTATCAAAAACCATTAAGATAAGACAAGAATGTGCAGGAGCACGGTAACTCGAGTCAGAACTGCTTCTATTAGTCTCTCCCATTCTTGGTGCTGTCTTTGTGTTGATGAAATTAGTGGCTGTCCTTTAACTGGTGATTAAATGGTTACAAACTGAAAGCTTGCTAGTAGTTGCACAAGTACCACAAACAAACACATGGAAACTGACATCAGCTTTTAATTTAAAATCTCACACGCTGCTCAAGATTCAAAAGCTGAGAAACAAAAGTCACGGACATCACTGTGCAAACGACGACGGAGCCATTTCCAAGGCTTCAGGACTTTATGAGAGGAAAAAAGGAGACTTTACCTTTCCTCCAAGGGGCCATGATGGAAAATGACTTCTGCCAGCTGATGACAAGTGCAGCCTTTTTTTTCACACTCATCTCGTCGTAGCAAAATTTTAATTCCAGAAAACTTAAATGTGAGTTTCAGAGAGGAAAGATGAAAGAAAAGAGAGATTCTTCGTGATGTATTCTGCCTTGAAGATCAGCTGTGGGAAAGGTGTCTGTTGTTGGAGGAGCTTGCATAGAGGCTGCCCTCGATAGCGGAGTCATGATTCCTGTGTCCCTTTGCTGTGGTGCTTGAGTAAAAGCAGCTCCCAGGCTGAGGAGGGGCTGGGCTCAGGCAGCAGCGTTCACAGTCAGGAGGAGGAGTGGTAGGAAGCCAGAGGGGGAATGGCCACGAGACATCGACTACAAAGCAATGTTCGATGAGTGAAGTGCTGCCAGTATGTACACAGCTTAGTAACAAAAACAAATATGCGAAATGAGAAGTGTTTATCTGGTAGTGCAGTCGTACTCTCATTACGTTCTTTTCTCAGTAGGCAATGGATGAAAGTTAATTACTTCAATTTTGCAATGTAAAAATTGTAACTTGTTTCCTTTAAAGGAGTCCAACAATAAAACACGTTAGTTTAGACTGTGGAGGCTGTTTCTCCCCATCACAGCCTAGATCACACGATCCCCCCAGGAGGACGATATAGTCCCCACAAGGGAGTCCAGGATTATATATTAACTTACATAAGCCCTTTTAATACGCTTAAAGAACCAATTAAATCATCATTCTACATGCATTTTTTCAATTCAATTTTATTTATATTGCACCAAATCACAACAACAGTGGCCTCAAGGCGCATGCATCCATTCACTTTCCTATTTCTGTGCCGTCGAGCGTCCCACTCAGCAACTATAAAACAGCTCTGCTGATTGATGTTAACATCCATGTAGATGCTGACGATGACAGACTCAACCTTAATTAGTTAGACTCAGTTTGCTTTTTTCAAAATGTAGTCCAAAACAGTTCTTGAATAATTAATGATGCAGATGCTGCCTGTGGCTGCAGACAGTACTCAGAGGCACTTTTCATTATCTGTAGGGATTTTAATCACGTCTCACTGGACCCCACTTTGCCTGCTTCCACCAGTTTGTGAACTGTCCACTAGGAATAACAGGACAACTGATCTACTGCATGCTAATGTAAGGGATGCATACGGAGTCACACCTCTACCCCCACTCTGAAAGGCAGACCATAATGTTGTTTAGCTACAGTACACCCCTCTGCTTCACCACACTGTGTCGGGAAATGCAGACAGACTGCTTTGAATCCGCTGACAGAGGAGACCTCATCCACACAGATATTCATGTAGTCAGTCAGACAGCCGGCGATCCCTTCATAGTCCTTATCAGTGGATCCAGCAGCATGTTTTTCTAATAAAAACCACAGGTGGTGAAGGGTGTCCTCAACAGGAAGAAGGTGACCTTCAGAATAAAGGACAGGTCAATTATCAAGTCAGCGGTAGGTGAAGCAGTGCCTGCAGGTGGCACTATAGGACACGTGGAGGAGAGGCTACCTGGATCGGCAGCCATCTCACGGAAAGACCCCACTATATCAGGCTGAAGGATATCAGCAGCACTGGTCACGGTGCTGGCCCCTCTTCTCTTCACCTTATACACTTCAGACTTCTGCTCAGTGATGTGTCAGAAATTTGCAGATGACACAGGCATCATGGGGTGTGTTAGGAATGGCAGAGACGATGAGAACAGAAATCTGGTGAGCGACTTTGTCTGGAGCCAGAGGAGCCTACTACAGCTCAACACCTCAGAGAACAGGGAGTTTATCGTAGACTACGGGAAGTCCAGACCATGCCAATGACCAGTCCTTTTTTAGTTTTTATTCGTCCTATATTGTTTGAGTGTGTGACTATGAAAATGCCTGTGTTTCTGTCAGAAATGTGCTTGATAATGAGGGTGGGAAGTAGGGCTGGGCGATATGACCCAAAATTCATATCTCGATATTTTTTAGCTGGATGGCGATATAAGATATATATCTCGATTTTTTTTTTTTAAAGCCATAAGTTAAGAACAAAAAGAGAGTTCTTAGTCACACTGTGTCCCAGATGTCACACAGGCACTTTTATTTACAGACAGCGTAGATGTACATGAAGAAATTACTTAAAAATAAATTATCAGCATTTATTAAATAATCATGGTCCATAAATAAAAGAAAACAATGTTGTTTTTGTGCATAACAAAAAGCTCACAATTGTGCAGTCAAAATGTAAACTAACAGACGCTGAGCATAGTAACAAAGAGACAGATTTCACAGCTGCACCACGTCTCTGAACAGGTGCCATTTGTGGTCCTTATACACACACAGTACGGTAATATTACGTTGAAGCACAGTACGTATCACTCCGCGAGGCTCCTCCCCGGTAGCCGTAATCCTCCAACAATCCATCAAGCGGTGCAGCTCCGTAGCTTAGCAAAGTCATATTAAAACATTTTTTGACAGATTGCTGAGCGCTGTGTTCCACATAAAATCGGTTCGCGGTCAGTAAGCACAACCAGAATTCATACATAAGGCGCACTGTCGAGTTTTGAGAAAATGAAAGGATTTTAGGCCGTGCAGCTCCTCCGGGCTGCATGTCGTTAGCGCGGTTAGCTCGTTAGCGTGGTTAGCTCGCTAACATGTTGACGCCGTCCAGCCCCACGCACGGGACGATCCGCGGTAACTCGCTAACGGAGATTTTCCGCTTTCATCTTGTCATTGCCTGCAGATGAAGCTATGGGGGAGGGGGAGTTGTGTTCAGTGAAGGAGAGGCGAGGCCGAGTAACGCGGCGTAGAGACAAAAGTGGACGAAAGAGAGGCAAACCTGCGGCTCCACAAGTATAATTATAACGTAACATAAGCTATATCGATATAAACGATATTGTCACATCTTATATCTCGTATGAAAATATATCAATATTTTTAAAAAACTCGATATATCGCCCAGCCCTAGTGGGAAGCTGCAGCAATGCCCCCAGAAGCGTGGGGGCTGACAGAGGTGGAAACACGGCAGTCTTCTTGTTGCATGTTGAAGCTCGACTTGGAACCTCGTTAAGATCCAACCATGCAAAATATGATTTTATTTATTTATTTATTTTTTACCATTTTTCAAGTACTCTTAAACTTTTGATCAGGACTTTATTAGGTTCTGAAGTTTGGAGTTAATGCAAGGAATCGAGAAGAACACTCATTTTGCAGGTGGAGGCCGTGAGGCTCTGGGGAGGGCAACTGGGGGAGTGTCTGGGAATGTGGTTCCAACCTGGTTTTCCTGATAATACAGAGGAGGCAGGAGGACAGGCAGATTAAAGCGGTGAACAGTTTTGATTCTGAGGAGTGGGTTACAGAGACATGCCAAAGAGACCAGCGTCCAGGTAACTGAGCTGCAGGGGAGTGAAGCAGTGACTTAAGTGAGGTAAGTGAGATGGGTGACAAACTGGCAGAGAATAGATGACTGCGCTGCTCTTAAATACAGACTTGCTGACTGTTGTCAGTGGATGACAGGTGAGTGTGGTAGGTGAGGAACCAGGGCTCCACAAGTAAACACAGGAAGGCAGTGGAAAAACACCAGATGCCCACTGTGATCCTAAAAAGTTGTGTAGATTAGAGAAATCCAAATGAAATTCAAACTTGTTTACCCAGTTTTTCTTTTCAAAGTCAATAAACGTGTGTGCTGTGCGATCATTCCACCCTGAAAAAAGAACCTTTCAGAGAAATCATTTAAAGCAGAAAATAATCTTTGCTCATTCTGACCACAAATTTCACCTAAAAAAGATCACAAGACTGAAGACAGGAACTGGTATAACCCAAGTCAGAGTGGTCACAGGGAGGGAGCAATCAAAACATTTTAACAACCTTCCAGTATGACCCTCCCTATCACTTGCTCTAGTTGCTCTAAATTGGGTTATCCATGCGTAATCAGCTTGTAAGACCTTTTATGTCCATCCACTAATTGTCAGAGTTACCCTGAGGAAATCACTCTTATTTCATTTGTCAGATACGATCACGGATGTTGGCTCTTTCCTTTCGCCCTCCAAACGTCAGAAGGAAAAGCACTGAAGAAACAACATTAACCGTGACGGGACTCTCATCACAGTTGAAGTTCACGCGTGTGTGTGTGTGTGTGTGTGTGTGTTTATTAGGCCTAGCTCTAGAAAGGTATATTGGTTGGTTAATACATCAGTGCACCAAAACTATTCTAAGGCAGTGTGTGACAGCTGTAAACCTTTATTAAGACTAATAAGTGTTGAGACTGAGAGTGTTACTGTAGTGTTACTGTAGTGTTACTGTAGTGTTACTGTAGTGTTACTGTAGTGTTACTGTAGTGACTGCATGAGGATCATGAGCCAGTTTTCCAGGGTAGGGGAACTGACCTGTTAAGTGCTACTGAATGGGATCATTTTTGTTTGTTTTTACTTTGGTTATTGGCTCTAACGGGAACTGTGAAATTTCTAGCAGGAAAACTGATTGCACTGTGCAAGGTAGTAAACAGCTGTTTTTCCATGATATGACCTTCAATGCACATATTAAACAAATATGACTGCTTTCTTTCATTTGCTCAACATTGCTAAGCTTTGCATATTCTATTGTATTGAGTTACAGTAAAATTGTTCTTTTGACTCAGGTAACCATACACCTTTTAGGTGGCTGTAGCTCAGGCGGTAGACTAAGTCAGCTACTAACCAGAAGGTTAGCGGTTCGATCCCAGGCTCCACCTGTCTGCATGCCAAATATCCTTGGGCAAGATCCTAATCCCATGTTGCTCTGCGATGCATCCATCAGAGTCTGGAGGTCAGTTTAGAATTAGTCGTTCAGCGCTTTGAGTGCTTAGATTAGAAAAGCGCCATATAAGAACCAGACCATTTGCCATGTTACACAACATAAAGTCAAACTCACTCCAAACTGCAGATACTACATTAGCCTGTAATTAACACCGAAGAAAGTTCTACAGTTTGCTTCATTTTAGACAACTCTCAGTCTTGGGTTTTCCAGGTAAGACAAATCCCAGAAGGCTGATACTATTCATCTGGATGTGAGAAATATCCATCAGTAATGAGGGACGTTTGAAAGTCAACATGTAAAGGAGATGAGCTTGGCTGGTTGTCAAACTGGGTGCATGGAGCCGTTGCAGGGTTTCAGCAGATGATCAGGACACAAATATGCTGTTAAATGCTGTAAAAAAATGTAATGCTTGATGTCATGATATGGTACAGGGAAAAACAAAAACAAGCCAAAAAACACTGCTGATAAGTTTATTTCTCC